AACTGCAAGCTATTGCTGTAGTTGCCATTATAACCTTCTAAAGCACTCCAGCACACCTGAGTAAGGCGCCTCGAAATCACTGAGCCCATAGCTGAGGCAACCAGGAAGGGAGGCTGCTTCAACAGGGGGATGGCATCTCTGACTAAAGAATGGACCAGATGAGGTTGAGTGACATGCAGGCCCCATAGGACAACATGCTTCTAAGACTGCCTGTCCTTCAAGTCACACCTCCTGGCTTCTCTCACCTGTGCTGAGCAGATCTCTCTCGGCTGCGAACACTTTGAATTTTTAATTAAAATATAATATATGCACATTTTTAAAAGTCAGAATACAAATGGCATAGTTAACAAAAAAAACAAGTTCCTACAATCCCCAAGCCCAGTCCCTCAGCTCTCTCATCCCAGAACAGCCACATGAAGGGGCTTTTCAGACATGATCTAGACATGTATGATGAACTCAATAGATTTTCATATTTCAGTGCATATAGCTGCTTTCGCTTTTCTGAATTATCCCTCTTTAAACAAGCTATTTGTTTAAATGCAGCTACCTTTAAAAAAAAAAAAAGACAGATTTTTCTGTGAAGCCATAGCTGTCTGGAATCGCTTTGTAGACCAGGCTGGCCTCGAATTCAGAGATCTGCCTACCCATGTCTCCCTGAGTGCTGGGATTAGAGTCATGAACTACTGAGCCCAGATGCTGCCTTCTTTTTTCACTACCATTCTTTAAAATATGTTTTGTTTTGTTTGAGACTGTACCTTATTATGTAGCTCAAACTAGTCCTCAATTCTCAGTTGTCTTGCTTCAGCCTCTGAACTGCTGAGCTCACTGGCCTGCACTGCCACGTCTGACTCTGCTTAGCAGCTTTGACACAGACACAACACTGGTGATTTAATCAGCTCCTTCTGATTCTTGCTATTATAAATAAAAAACGCAGGTTATAAAAATCCTCTGCGATACATAAACTTGTTTATTTTCATAATGAAGAAAATATCTCATATCTTGGACTTGGAGCCTCCAAAGACCACCTTTATGATCTTGCATTGAAACACAGGGGTGAAAAATAAAAGCCTGCACTCCAACCCAGACTTAGATTGCCTAGCTGCTCTGCATGGCCAGCTTCACTGCATATGAGGCAGTGGGAATTGCGCCTGCCCTGCATGGCCTCACAGCGGCATGCTAAGGACCGAACACACAGGAAAGCTCAAGAGCTCCGTATTACACAGCGGATTCTGTGGCAGGCCTGCAACTGATGCATGCTTTATGATATGCCCTCCATCTTCAGCGTGCTGTTTGCTCCAGCTTCTCAAACAGCGACTGGCTTACCTGTAGCTCCTGCTGCTTGGCAACCTAAGGCTGCTAGGCTCTGTGGATCCTTCTGTTTTCACACCACAGACGGAACAGGACTGGTCACCTCTGTAAGGCTGTCCAGTGACTACAGTGAATGTCTGTGCATTTGTACCAGTAAGCCAAGTCATTCTGATTCTAACCCTTGAAATAATTTACTAGGCAAATCACAAGTGACTACAGACAAACAAAAAGGCAGAGAGTAACCATACCATCAGGACTATGATGGACCACTAGAAGTTGATTCATGAGGAAGCTGAAATCAAGAAGGAGCAGAAACCCACACATTCTAAGGCTGTGAAGGAATTCAAAACAAGTGAGGCAATATCAAGGGGTGGAGACACACCTTTAATCCCAGCAAGCAGGAGGCAGAGGCAGGTGGATCTCTGTGAGTTCGAGGACAGCCCGGTCTACAGAGCAGGTTCCAGGACAGAAGAAAAAAAGAAACAAGATTGGAGTGAGACTGCACAAAAGCAGAGGTCCCCATCCAACCCCCAATCAGCCAGGGTCATAGCCAGTAAAGCACAAACAAGGGTCTCGGCATGAGGAACACCAGCCCTGGGTCCTGGGTCCCAGAACTGCCTTGAATCCAGAACTATCCCTGTGAGGCCAGGTCGTCCCAAGCCCTCGCTGCTGGGCCCCATGTGATGTTGACTTCCTCTTGGGGCTTTCCTGAGAGCCTGCTTCCTCTGAGTTCAGTAGAAGAGGCAGGTGTGCTTCCCATGGTGCCATGAAAGTAAAAAACAGAACAAAACCCCACAGCTGGTGAGAACCATTTCTCCAACTTTGGGGTAGAGCATAAAGGATAGGCTATGACCAACACGTCTTGAGAGGGGGAAAAAGAGGTCTTGGGTTTTATTTTGCTTAATGAATTAATGCAGCTCCATGAAGGTCCTTCTAGAGGAAGGACAGAAGGGCAGGGAGCGAAAATGGGTGATTATCCATGAGATTTCTCATGCTCATCCTTTTCTCTATTCAAATCCCATGCACCTGACATGTCACATCTTCCACCAGCCTCACCCAGCACTTCCAATTACATCATCACTCTCCTCTGACCCCTTTGCTGTATTTGCCCGGCCCCAGATTCACACCCTATAGTCATACTTTCTAGCCCTTCTTTGAAGTTCTGCCAACTAACAGTGTATTCCCCCTGTATTCTTGAGCCTGGCTTTAGGCAGTAGCATAAGATGGAAGTGCTGGTGCGCCCATTCTAAGAGTCCCTTGAATCCCTTTCATTGCCATAAGAGTTTGCCCAGGCTAGCCCACTCATCATAAGATGATGGAGACACACACGATATAAAGCTGAGTCAAGTTTTCAGAAGTGTCTAAGTCAGGCAGCCTCTAGGTGTCTGTACCATTTGCCACTGAGATTTTGTAGTTATTTAATATATGGCTGATATATACAGTGATTAGCACTCACTGTATGTTTCTGTGTGTGGTGGTTTCTGAGGATTATTCGGTCATATGAATGCTGATTTGGGCAGGGCTCCCCTACTTAAGACCTCAGAGTTACCAAATAAGAATACAGGGTGCACAGTTAAATCTGAATTTCAGGTGAATGGTCTTAGTATGAAAGTATCCTGAGAAACTTTTAGAATATATTTATAGTAAAATTATTTATCTAAGGTTCCGTTCCTCTGAGCACCCCATATGTACCTGGCAGTCCTGCCCCTGTCCTTACAATATGTGGGAACCGCCACAGCCTCCATCAGGGAAAGCAATGCTTCAGCTAACCTGGAAGGGCACAGGGTAAGTCCTGGGGCCAGGGGATAAATCCGTGAATAAAGAGCTTGCCTGCATGGACCCCTGCCACCCATGTAAAAGATGGGTGGTCATGGCAACGGGCATGGAATCCCAGCCTCGGTGGCAGAGACAGGGGATCCCTGCAGCAAATCTGGCCAGCCAGACTAGCCGAAACAGCAAACTGGAGGAGATCTGTAAGTTCTGTAAGAGATCCTGCCTCAATAGACAAGGTGCAGAGTGATCCAGGAAGACCCCCACTGTCCTCTGCAGGCTGTTACACACACACACACACACACACACACACACACACACACACACACACGAACACACATCATACTTTACACATACACAAAAGGGTAAATCTCTTAAAGATTTTAATTAATGCACCCATGTGTCTGTGGATGTGCTGGTGTCCATGGAGGCCAGAAGACATCTGATCCTCTGCAGTTGTAGTTTCAGGCAAAGCCACCTCTTTTATTATTATTATTGTTATTATTATTATATTACAATAATAATAGTGGTAATCATTTGCTTAGTTCCTTATGGAATACATCATTTCCTTTTTCTATTAGTACTATGTCACTTTTCCCCATTCATATATGAGGGCACTGAACATCAGATTCAAAAAACAGCCCTTTCGGTCACACAGCTAGTAATAGCAACAAAGCTAGAATTCAGGTGTGTCGCTTTTCCCCTTCCATAATGTGACCCTGACTCCATTTGTCGAAAGTGTTCTGTTACAGTTCTTATAGATGACAAAGTGTATTCCCAGCCTTCCTGCATCTTCACCCTCCTCCACTCTTCATTATCGCTGGGATGTGCAGTGCAGGTTATAGCCACTTCGCAGTGATTCTGCAGCAGGGTCCCATGATTGATTAGATAGTTCAGTCAACTGACGTTTATGTTCAGTGTTCTGAAGGCTAGGTGTTAGGATCAAAGCAGAAGCAGGCTCCTTTTGTTCAAAACTCCAAGCCAGAGGGCTGTGATCTGAGCCTAAAATCATTCATTTTACGCATCAACTTGACCAGGCCTTACGATGCCTAGTCATCTGGTTGGACATTATTTACAGGCGTATCTTTGAGGGTGTTTTTAGAAGATATTAACCTTTAAGGAAACGGAGTAAGAAAAGCAGACTGTCTGCCCCAGTGTGAGTGGGCCTCATCCAACCCCCTGAAGTCTTCAGTAAAACACAATGGAAGGTTGAATGTAGCTGACTGAACTAGTGAATTCCTGGGTCTTCTGCCCTTGAACTAAGCTTATATCACTGTTCTCAGGACTAGTGGTTATAGCACCGACTCTTGTGGGTTTTCAGCTTGTGGACAGGAGACTACAAGCATTCCAAGCTCTATAACCTCATGAGTTAATTCTCGTGTTTCTTTGCTTCATCACCTATTGGTTCTGTTTCTCTGGGGAACCCTTGCTCTCTGCCTACGTCATCATCCCTCTGCACTTATCAGTGTCCTCATCGAAAGACATTAGTCACATTGGATTGGGCCCGCTGCAATGACATTGTTTCTAGGCAGTAATTTCTATGAAGATCCCATCTCCAAATAAAGTCACAACCTTTGGTTTGTTTTTTAATTTTTTAATTACATGTATTTATTTGGGGGTGTGGTGTACACACACACATACCACAGAAAACGTGGAGAATCCGGTCTCCTCTTCTACCACATAAGTCCCAGGGATCAGACTCAGGTTACCAGGCTTGGCCAGCAGGCACCTATGCCAGCTAAACCAGCTCGCTGGCCCCCAACCTTCAGTTCTTGCCAGTGACCTCAGAAGTGTCATAGCCTCTGCCAAAAGTGCCCTGGCAACTGGTAGAATGTGGCTATTATGAGGCTAGGGGATTATGATGGCGGCCAGAGCCTGGTGAAGCCAAATGTTATTGTCTCAAAAGATGTCCTCTGGCCCTAGTTGGCAGCACTGTGGTTATCTGGATGGCAACAGAGGACAGAGAGGTGATGGAAGCCCGGGGGGCAGGAGAAAGCTGCCCCACCCTCTCCAAGGTGGCACCTGGTGACAACACGCCCGAAGGGAAGCCAAAGGCTTCTTTGGTAAGAGGAGTGCTCTCCCGATTGCCCTAGCCATTTCATGGAGGTGGGGAGGGGTGGGAGAGACTCTAAGCCTTAGGGTCTTCAGGCATGCACGGTGGCCTAGAACAACAGGACTACATAACCTCCCCATGGCTGGGACCCAGCTGCCACTAAGAGCCAGCCCTGCACAGGGTTGTAAGATTACACAAAACTTTGTCTCTATCCCTCTAGTTGAGGCCTCCTTTCCTCTTTGTGGATAGAGGACACACACACACACACACACACACACACACACACACACACACACACTGTTAGATCTCTCAACACAGACCCTAGGCTTCTTCCGTACTCTGGAGTTCCTGAAAGACCTGTTGTCTAAAAGTTAGGTGAAATTCAGGGGATGGGAATGTGACCTCTGTGGTGACAAGAGCCGCTACCTGAGCAGACGCCTACCTCACCTATCAATGCTTCACAACTTCAGGGCAACACCCCTTCGGGTCAGTTAGCCTTCTCCTGCTCTAGAGCCTCTTAATGCACTTCTAAGCAAAAACCCATCTGGACAATCTTTGCAACACACCCTAAGCTGCCGAAGCTTGGGGCAGAGGGAGTGGTTGCAGGAAAGCCCACAGTGAGCCCATCATCACTCCACCTTTTCTTCTCCATCCCAGGAGGCAGAACCCCCAAAGCTAGAAGAGAGTGAAACATGTGAGGGCAGAGATTGCCCAGGCTCCCCTAAGTCACAGGCCCCAAAGTCTAGCCCTACCACCAAGGGTCAGGCTGGCGATGGACCTGGGCTGGAACCAACGGAGCTGCCCCTGACCATGGAGACAGAACACCACAATGCAATGGAGCTGGAGAAGGTGCGCATGGAGTTTGAGCTGACACGCTTGAAGTACCTGCACCAAGAGAACGAGCGGCAGCGGCAGCATGAGGAAGTGATGGAGCAGCTGCAGCAGCAGCAGCAGCAGGCTTTACCTCGCCAGGTAGTGGAGTGGGGCGAAGGGCGAAGGGCCACCCCCTGGACCTTCGCAAGGTCACCTCTGCATCTTGTCTGCCGGTCCCAGGTCTGGCTGAGAGGCAGTGAGCATCACGTAGCTGTCTCTAGCCCCTGGTGCCTTGGGTCAGTTTGCAGGATGGTCTGAGATCACCATCCTGTCTGATTAGCTCTACTAGAGCTTCCAAGTTAAAAGAGATTCAAGTCTCCAAAGAGAGCTGAGAGCAGGAGATTGCCTGAAGCCACTTCCTCTACCCAGAATCCCTTTTGATAGTCTGTGTTTGATACTCACACCACCACTGGGTTCCCACTGATTTTATTTCTCTTAAGATGTGCTAGCAGTCCCTGTTGAACGACTACCGAGTGTCAACAGAGCCATCATCTTACTTCCAGGGCTGAGTTTTCTCTGTTGAGTACTCTGTCTTATAACCAACTAAAGCAACGCCCTTTTGACAAGAAATGTATACTCAACCCCTACCATACTACATGGAGCGCTGGGGGATAGGGTTCCAGCTCAGCCGGTAAGGTTCTTGACTATGCACGAAGCCCTGGGTTCGATCTCCAGCACCAAATAAACCACACGTGGTGCCTCCAAGATCCTAGCACTCAGGAAGTGGAGGCAGAATGATCAGGAGTTCAAGGTGACATAGGAAGTTTGAGGCTAGCCTGGGCTATATGAGACCCTGTTTCAAAAGAAAACTTGAGATAAAATGCCATGAGAGGTACCTATCGCTCTGGCCAGACCATTCTAAACACTCCACAATGAAAAATGTCACCGCTTAAAAGCAGTGCCTCCCGGTCATAGGTTCTGGGTAAAAACCCTGGCTCGACCATTTTGTAAACCATTTAACCTTGAACACATCACTAATCCCTCTCGAGCCTTGGTTTGCTCATCCCTGAAGTAGAACCTAGCTCATGGGGTCATTGTAAAGAATAAGTGAGAATGTGTGCAAGCCGCTTTGCAATGAACTAGCACGTTAGGTAAGTGCTCAATAATTGTTAGCTATTACCATTTTTATGAACTCATACAATTCACTTCTTGACCCGAACACAGCAACTTACATTCATCACTTCTAAGTTTTACTGGGGTATGATGTATGAGCTCTGCTTCCCAGCTCTGAGTCACCCTCGATTCTGAGAAGCTTGTCTTTGTCTAGGCTATTGCTGTAATTGTTGAGAAGGATACGACCTAAAGTAAATCCCATCACAAGATCTTATGGCAGACTATCAGTTTCCATTCATCAACGCTGCTACATCTTCTCCGGCTCATCCTTCTGCAGCTTGCAGAAACCTGTCCTGAGCCTGTGTCAAGAGGCTTCCCAGAATAAGGCGTTCTGTTACCTGATTCAATGGTCCAATTGACTGCCCAATTCTTTAAAGAGAAAATAGATTTGTTTTACATGATTTGTTCTCAGTGAACACATGCTGGCTTACTAATTATTTTTCTTGTTCACAAGATATCTGTTTAATTATAGATTAAGTGATATTGCTGAGCCAAGCCAAGCTTACCAAATTGGGACATCTGAAATACAGTTTTCTTCTTTTAATATCTAGAAAACATTTGCCTTTCTCTAGAATTTCACACTCTCTGGTATTTTCCAACTTTTTGGTTCTTAGATTTTTTTTTTTTTTCTTCAGTGTCCAAGGATAAAAACTGTCACAAATTTGAGCCAGACAAAATCAGGTGTGTTTTTAAATCAGGTGTGGTACTCGTATTAGCTTCTTGTCTGATGGCTGAGACAGAGGCAGCTGAAGGAAGGATCGGCTTACAGCCCCAGGGAACAAGCCACCATAGCAGCAGGAGCTCCCAGCAGCCGGTCACACTGCTTGGTCACTGGCATTCAGGTCACCTTTTTATTCAGTTCAGGACGCCAGCCCGCCTGATAGGACCACCCACAGGTCACCCTCCTCTCAGTTAACCTAGCCTAGCTTACCTCCCAGGCATGCTCAGACACTTGTCTCCTCACTGAGTCCAGGTCCCGTCAGGTTGACGGGAAATTAGCAAGCATGGGATGGTAGGCCCATGTCCCCTAACCACATTCATTTTTCACTTTTTAATTCGAAAAATATTTCTCCTTGCTGGATGAGATGAAAATCCTTAGCATAAAGTCCTCTGCCTTCTTAAAAAATAGAAAAAGTCTAAAGGGCATGATAGGTATGTGTATTCATATAATATACATTATCCACATATATATTAATCACATAATATATTACATATTATTCAATAATATTATTCACATAAATATTATGTGAACACACACACCATAACTGCCTCTTTTCCTCATATTAGGCTAGAATCATGCAGGCTGCAGTGTGACAGAAGTCATGGCACAAAGCCTGTGACTACAGAGCACTGATCTGTCTGGAGGACACTGCGTTTTTTCCTCGGGTCTCCTGCCTTCCTTGCTGTCACTTTAGATGCCTCATAGCTGGAACCATTTTCTCTCCTTTAGTTTTATTTCTTTATATAGTTGCCTTCTTGTTTTCTGTAGCTGTTTTCATCAATGATGTAGCCAAGGCCTGGGCCCTTGGGAATAGTTTACAAAAATGTTTTACTTGTGGTTCATTTACTAAAAAGGAGGGGTGGATGGTTTGACTTGATTATAGAGTTTTCAATACTTATTTTTTTTCTGAGTGGTTGGAAGGAAAGGGGGAGACAAAGGGATGATGGATGGATGGATAGGAGGATGGATGGTTGGATGGATGAATTTAATTATACTGAATATATCTAAACTACCATTTCTCAATAATTACTCACTCATCTCAGTCCTTGCCATTCAGCTGTTACAAATATGACATCTTAAAAAATATTGTACAGAAGAATGGCAAATACCTTATCTCATACCAACATATTTATATCAGTTATACACATTCTTGACAGTTAAAATAGGGTCAGTCTGAGCCCAATTACTGACTTCAGAAAAGAGCAACTCACAATCAGATCCATGCAAAAACCCAATTCCCTGTTGGGTCGGGGAGCCTATAACTCTAGCCACCTGCCCCAAGAAAGAGCAAACCCTGGGGCAGAAGATCACACACTAATCATGTGACATATTCCAGGACACTAGGAGTCTGAGACCCTCGCTTGTGCTCTAGGGATGCTCTGCCATAGTGCCATTGTCCAGAAAACTAGGCTATCAGGAAATGATATCCAAAGTCTACTTCTAAGAACCAGATTCCAGATCTGGGAACCTTGGAGTCCTAGAGAATTTGCTCACATGGGTAACTGTACTGGGCAAGATGAGGTAGAGAGAGAAAGGACAGTGTTGGCCTAGTGTCCTGGGTTAGGAGAGATAATGCAACCTCAAGACAAAATGAACGAGACCCTCTACGCACCAGTGACCTGACTAGGATTGTTATTAGCTTTATTTACTTTCTATTTCCTCGTGATCTTGGGAAGGAAGTATTACTACACAAGGACCTACTTGAGATCACCTCCAGAGTCAGGGCAGGACTGAATCCAGATATGACACTACCAGCTATACTCTCTTGTTTTCCCACAGTTCTCAGGAGGCCTCCAGGATCTCTTGCTCCCTCAGAACCAATTTGCCATGTTCCTGTACTGCTTCATCTTCATCCACATCATCTATGTTACCAAGGAGATGGTCTTCTTTCTCTTCTCCAAGCATTACCTGTTCTGCCTCGCAGCCATCTTGCTGTGTTTGATTAAAACCTTGTGGTCCTACTTCCAAGTGCCTTTGCTTCTTCCATCACCAGCAACATCATCTGTGGACCACCAGATTCCTCCCTTCCCATGGCAACCTGGCTTGATGGCACAGCTGCCAGCTGCTGACACCTGAGTGTGAAGACACACAGCCAGGCCCTGCCCTGAGACTGCTTCTCACTGTAGGACTATGTCTCCTTCCCAAGGGAGAAGTTAGTTGGAAAGGGGGTATTAGATCTTCAGGGTCCTTTCTAGAAAGGTCTAGAAAACCTTTCTAGAATTATAGAATCACATTAATGACAAGCTAGCTTTCCCACATCTCATGCTTAGTTTTTTTTTAATTGCAAGGTTGATGTGAGCCCCTCCTCCATAAAAAATGTCCTGTCCCAGTCCCCAAAATCTTGAAAGTGTTGCTTTATGTCACAAAAGAAACTCTTACTAAGGCTGTTAGTTCAGCCTTGGTCCTAAAAGCCTTAACAAACTGGGCCTTGCCACCTGTCCTAAACAGGCCAGTTAAACAGACAATAGTGAAAAGCAGAGAATGGAGAGGTATTCAGTGTGGCCACATTGGAGAGAGGGACAAATGAAGAGGTCCAACTTTGGGGTCCTAACACAAAGTTTAGATTCAAATAGAGAGGTATGCATAGCCCAGCAGTCTAGGGGTGCCCTGCGCGCCATCACTGTCTTAGCCAGCCTCTCCTGCAAGGTCCAGAAAATGCATGAAATCTTTTTCTAGGAGACAAGCTCTCCTGTGGTGGGTCCCAGGCTTTAGCTTTCTTCTCCCAATAGGAGAGCCGTGGGGAAATTCCTACTTTTGTGGTCTGTCGTTTCAGTAGTCTGATGGCCAAAGGGAGGAGATCAAGAGCCTCTTCGTTTAGAATATGTTCATTCCTGTTACAACTCTGAGACACACTCAAGAATGTTGATATGGAAATTGATCCTGGATTACCCAGCTGTGCCCAAGATCATGACAGGGGTGAGGAGTGATGAAAGGCCAGGACTGTCTCTAGGAGTGTGGGCAGTTTCTAGAGGCTAAGAACATCCAAAATAGAGATTCTCCCCAGGGCCTCCAGAAAAAAAACAAAAACAAACAAACAAACAAAAAAAAAACAGCCCTACCAACCCATTTTTTACTTCCAAACTCTGGAACTGTAAGGGAAGAAAGCTCTGTGATTTTAAGCCACCAAGTTCATGGTTAACTTGTTTCAGTTGCTACAGGAACCTCATAGGAGCCAAGGCTCCTGGACCCTTCCAGGGATGCAAACAAGCCAACACAGGAGCACCAAGTTGTTGAGAAGGTCCATTCAAGCCAGAGCCTTCAGACAACTGATTAAAAAAGGAGACACCCTGACACCCCCCAGCCCCAACACATACACACACACCAGGAAACTTGGGATAGGTTTCCAAGAACTGAGAGTTTCCAAGTACCCTTACCTCAAAGTAGCCAGAGCTTCCCTTGGCAAGACAGATTAGGAAAATAGAGCCACACCTCCAAGACCCAGAAAGGAGGGACTTCAATTCAGCCTGAGACTGCAATGGAAACACACACACAATGGGACTGAGCCTGGAGGAAGTCATCACTGCTGCTTTACTGGAAAAATGGGAGGAAGAAAAAATACCAGATACATACAGCCCAACACACGCACACAGGCTAAGCACACAGACTCTTAAAAGTGTAGATACAAGCCAGGCAGGGATGGCTCACAACTTTAATCCCAGGTCTCTGGGAAGGCAGAGCAGGTGGATCTCTGTGAGTTCAAGGCCATCCTGGTCTACAGAGCTAGTTCTAGTATCCAGGGCTAGTTCTTTGCCAGCCAGGGCTAGGCAAAGAAACCATGACTCAGAAAAAAAAAAAAAAATGTGGATACAAATACACTGAGCTTACAGTGGCTATTCGCCACCTCCAAATAAACAAAAGAGGGTTCAGAAGCAAAACTGCAAGGGATACACAACAGAAATCCACCCCCCCCCCCCCCCCCCGAGCTGGCCCCACCCTTTCTCCAACACATCTCTCTCTACAGACTAACAGCTCTGCTCCCACCAGCCCCAGCAGCAAGATGGCCAGCTCTGGCCCTGAGAGTCACATGAAGAGATGGAGCGGCAAACAGCTGGATGCAGCTATGCTCTCAGTTTATATCAACTCTTTCCCTTGTCACAGGCCTTTGCCTTAAGAGCAATGGAAATAAGTTTCGGCTGGCTGGGTTCTGTGAGTGGCACTCAGTGAAACGGAGAAGACTGCCTTGGGACCACACTGTCAGGACATATTAGCATGTCATTTGTGTCCACAGTGACTTCCCATTTTCCCCCCAGTTCGATGCTTCCACCCCACTGATGGCTGTGTGTGATAGGCACTTATAATCTGCAAATGGTAGCACCGGCATTTCTCATTAAACTTTCAGTGATGGAAATGCTTGCTAAGAGTCAGTTCTCAAGATCACTTATTTGACTCAGGTTTGTGGTATGAGACTTGAGGCAAGAGATTAGGAGAGCAAATTGTTGCAGGCCCACCTACTCACCTGTGGCAGACAGAGGTGGGCACTGGGTAAAAACTAAATGTCACTCCTGTTGCCTGGCAACAATGGACCTAAATGCTTTTTTTTTTTTTTTTTCTAAGAGAAAGATTAACTCCCTCAAGTCATTAAATTAGTTATAGATACAAACTTGTCTGCCTCTGCCCTGGATCTAGTGTCTGAAGACTGATGCTCAGGAACACCCAGACTCGCATGATCACCCTCCAACACAGTTCAAGTCTCCTTGTTGAAATGCAGAGCAGACAGTCAGGAGGGCACAACCACAAAGGACAGGAAAGAAGCACAACTAAATGGTAACCAAGCCAGCAGCAGAGTCAACACACCAGCAGCTCCAAGTACTGCCAGTGCCCAGTGCCCAGCTCAGTGCTTAAGGAGGCCAGCTTGCAAAGACCCCAGGGAGGCAGAGGCATGTATTATACCAGCCTGCAGAGAATTCCAGGCTTCAGAGGAATCTAACTCTGAAGTAGACTCTTCCCAAGTCCCTACAATCCTGCTGGCAAGGCAGATTTAACACACAAGAACATTGATGATAGCTTACAGCGCAGAGACCCCAGGAATGAAGGGGAGGTGGTTGGAGCCAGGAAAGGCTTCTTGTAAGAGCAGCCCCTGGAGGGTTAGTAAGCCTGGGAAGGTGGGAAGGAGGAGGGACCACTCAGGCTAAGATCAGCACTCGGGTGTATCCTCTATGCGGAAGGCATGGAGTGCTCTTGCTCGGGTGAGTGGTATAAAGGCTAACAGTTGGACAACTGGCTCCAGCCTAGTTTTATAGTCTCAAGGGTTAGTCTCGGGAATATGAACTTAATCCTTCGGGAAGCTGGGAGTCCTGAAGTTTGCAGAGTCGACTAGTGATGCAAAAGTGACAGGAGAAAAGCTTCCCCTCCCCCTCCCAAAAAAGACAGTCTGGAAGCCATGCTTACCTTGACCCATCTCTCCCCATTTCTAATCTAGAAACACTGTTTTAGGGGTCCAGAGAGGGAGTGTTTCAATCAGCTGTTAGAGAGAGAGACTGCAGCTTAACTTAACAAAGGTTTGTTATGTTTGTACAAACCAGGTGGTCAGGCTGATGAAAGTGCTACAGAAATGAGGGAGGATTCTGGCTCAGAGCATCTCCATCACCCTCACAGCAACAGCCTTTATCCCCATCCTACGGCTCCAGCTTCATTCTCTCACAATGCTGCCATGGCCCCAGGCACAAATCCACAAGTCAAGGGAGGGGGGGAGGAAAAACTGCCATTTAAACACTTTTTAAACTGGGAGTGGTGACCCTTACCTTTAATCCCAGCATTCAGGAGGTAGAGGCAGGCAGAGCTCTGTGAGTTCAAGGCCAGCATGGCCTACACAGAACTTTTCTCAAAATCTTTTTTAAAAGCCAACAACAACAACAACAAAACTACTAAGAAACCCCAAACAGAGATTCCTGATCCTATCTCATTGGTCAAACACAGTCATGAGGCTGCTTCTAGCTATGGGACATCTGAGGTAATAGTTTTGTCATATGAAGCCCACCAGAGATGATCACTCAGACACAATTTATAGCCAAATGAAAGTCTTTATTTCAGCCTGATGGGACTACACCCAAGTATTTAGAGACCCAAGTATAGAGCCCCGAGCATTTAGGCCAAGGGTCTTAGCAAATCCCACATCCTGGTGTAGCAAGCAGTTTAGCAGAAGCTGAGTGGTTTGCTGGAGGAAAAGGTTTACACAGCAGGAACTTTAACAGAAGTTTTAGCTGGGACATGCTGACCTTGGGTTCCTAGAATAGAGTTGGATAGTTTTCCACGGGATTCTCCATCAAGGAGATCAAATTCTAGTTAATACTGAAATGGCATCAGCAGGGGTACAGGATAGAGGAACCTCTGCACTGTCTTGTCCTGTCACAGTTTTTACCTGAGTACTTTTTGTAGCCTTAACCAAAAGTGGGATTCCGACAGGAAAAGGGAAGGGTTAGTAATTGAATAAGAAACTAGCTGCCCACCATTCCTGCTTTAGAAGGCCTGAGTTACTGAGTTAGAGACCTTGAACCTTGAGACAGGCAGAGGGAGCATGGCAGGAGCCAATCTGGGCCTGGCTCCATGCTCTGTCCACCTGAGGAAGGCCATACCAGGCCACAACCACACAGAACAGTTCATGGTTTCTCCTGGATGCATGCATTCCTAGAACTGCTCTGACCTCCACCACCAGGGCAGAGGCCCTGCCTGCAACCTTAGAAGGGTACACAGATCAGTGTCAGACCTCCAAAACTACAAAGGGAGCTGTGCTCAAGGCTAGAGTCTTTCCCCTCTCTGAACTCGGATCCCATAGAACACAGCTCACTGTCAGCCAGAGGACCTACTCCATGGTCCAAGGTCCACTCTGATTTAGCCCAAATAATGAGCCCTTAATAACATTTCAAGTAGGCATAAGGTGCCAAAGACGCCAAAGTTTGTCTGCCTCTAGATAAAATATCATGGATTCCCAACCCCAAGTCCAAGGATAAGCTGGAGCTAAGAGACCACTGTCACTTACTGGGGGGAGAGGGAGCACACATAGTTACGGAGGCCACTTTCGCTACCTTTTCTGTTGTCACCCCTGCTGGACAGGCGACTACAAGTTCTTGAAGCTCCTT